GAGGCTATCACATTATTCAAAACGGGCTTCTCAAAATGAAGCCAGCAGATGCGCGGCCAGTCGCACTACCACAGCGAGGGACACACATTACAGCACGTCGTAATCGTAGGTTGGGGATACCAGTTGGGCGGTTGGAGGGGGGGGGGTAGGGAAGGGGCGGAGAACAAGCGAAACAAAAAACTGGGAAAAGTGATAGCCGCTGGGAGAATTTAACAACTTAGTATGTAGGATGGGTAGTGGAAGGAGAAGGGTCGCACCAGAGAAGGAATTTTCTTTGGAGCTAGCGATCGCATTTTAGATATATGTTCCCCAGCGGCAGGACGTGACCTGGCCGATATCATAGAACATTCCAGCAGAACAAAAGCCCATTCAGACAAAACGCGTAAGTGGGAACATACTTGTGATCAGGATCTTGCGACACGGCGAGGGCTTGACGCTTGAAACCTTGCTTTTCGAGGAAATGTGCAACACGAGTACGTTGTTCCTTGGGAATGGTTGTCAGCACCTTAACAAGTGAAAGTTCACATTGTAAAGGTTAGTTCTACGAAAAACAAAGAAAAAAAAAAATCATCTCATAGTCCGTAGGAATGATGTTTTCACCTTGTCTGCAGTTTCAAAATCCCTTCGCATTACGGCTGTCTGGTATTCCAACACACAAAGCAGCAGCTTGTATGAAACTACATTCAGCTCCTTGTCTACAGCATATACACGCGATTCCTTGGCCATATATCCGAGCTGAAGCCATTATTGAATAGAATCAAAGTGGAAAATTAGCACCAGGAAAACCTCCTTCAAAAAAACCCATGATAACCAACCAGTATATTTCAAGTTCTTACCAAATATAGAGGTCTGTCCATATGAGCAATAGTAACTATTTCTCCTCCTACATAGTAATTGAGTCTATTCAAAGAGGTTGTGAACACAAAACAGTCTCCAATCCAGAAAGCCGTTTTCACTCCTTCGGCTTGTTCACCTGAACAGAACACATCTATACGATGGACTCCCTCGAAACCCGAGTAACTGATCCTCCTCAGAAGAAATCAGCAGCTTGAGCGCCTAAGAAACACAACTTCAGAGAGAAAATTGGGTGGATATCCCGGCCCTGCATCTTGCCTTACTCCTTCGCTATTCTTCCCTGTCTTTGCCCTCTGAATATCTCTGGTGAGTCGATTGTGAGAGTGAAATTACTGATGTACATTTTGCACGAACAAGTCAGTAATCGCATTCTCACAGAGGCAGGATAGGGGAGATAGGCCAGGCCTTCATGCAGGCAGGGCATAATCAAAAGTCGGAGTTCAAGCCTGGTTTTCTCATTAGTACGCACGCATCCTAGTCCTTTTATAGCTCCTCGTTTTCTCTGAATAGCCTTTTTTTTATTTATAACATCTGCATCTGGCACCTAACGTGCAGCTGAACAAATTGAATTTGCTAGCTGAAAGAATGGCCGCAGCCATCGCCAGCCGTGGACAACGTGGGTGGAGCGAAGTGAAGAGTTGAGACTAAGTCACCATGTCACTAAGAATAAGAGGATTCGCGATAAGGAAAGCTCTCTTATCGGTCTGGAGACAGAGAATCTGAGGTAGAGCACGTCGTACGGGTTCCTAGCGAAGGGTGGGGTCGTATTTGGTGGCCAGAAAGGCGCGTATTTGCCTAAATTTCTGGTTTTCGGCTTTCCTCGACGGCATGTTGCATAAACTGAAGAATACTTGAAAAACACTGCGGAAAGGTTCGAAGTTTCGAGAATTTGGGAAGCCTTTACATAGGATGAGGAAGGAAAAGATGAAAACGTGGTGAGCATTGTAGCAAAGGAGAAAATTTCGAGATGGTCGTATCCCACAAAATTTTACTCAAGGACCAGGGCGTACTCCGATTTGAAAACTAAAGACTAATCGATAGTCATTAACCCGTTTCGCTAGTTCCCCGTTTCTCCAGTAGCACAAGACAGTGAAAGTAGTTCCACCATGAGACTACGAACTCACCAACAACTTCAAACGTGTCTTCCACACCATCTTCGGTGATTTCATCAGGAGAAGCACTAGCGAAAACATCCGCATTGTACTTGAGCACGTAGAATGTGTCCTCACCACAGATGGCAACCTTGAAACGATGGAAAAATCATAGCAATAAATAAATTAAAAAAAATGGCAAATGCAAATGATATGAGTTGATCTAATGAACCAACTCACCATTTCTCCGCTGTCACTCCAGTATACATGTTTTGCTGCAATTTCTATTCGCCGTACCAGCTGTGCAGTCTCCCAGTCGTAGAAGCACAGGCTCGACGCTGATCGAGCAGCCAACAATGGACCACCGTCAATTCCTTCCATAACAGTATCAGTGCGCAGCTGCTTATACTCCTACAAATGGTGGGAATAAGAAGGACAAGGAAGTTGAGAGTTCGGTGAAATATTCATACCTTGAAGTTCTTCTTGATCTTCACAGCCGTAGCAGATTCTCGCACGGCGAACATGTTAGGATCTGTTGCCCACACAAATTCGAGAGCCTGTGACGAA